CCATTTATATAATACTAAAAGTCGAAAAGTCTAAAAGTCGACTTTTAAATAAATGAAAAAGGTCGAAAAGTCGAAAAATCGACTTTTCATAAAATGGAAAAAGTCGAAAGGTCGAAAAGTCGACTTTTAACTAAATGCAAAAAGTCGAAAAGTCGACTTTTCGTTTCAACTATAGAACCCTAGTTTGTATTAATTACCATAGACCGAACAGTCTGAAATTTGGCACTCATGAACACCATTTGAACAAGAAGGCACTATTGCAGGTTATGTTAGAAATTTGTTAACACTATTAAAAAATGGAATTTCCAATTCTTATGATAATAATGGTACCATGAGCATAATTATTAAAATATAAATTATTTTTCTTGAAGTTTGATCTATATTTATTGTTTATATACATATATAGACCAAACCAAAGGGTCCATTAAATTGCTAATGAATATCTTATTCATATTATTGTAAATATGTACACAATTTTACAACATTAATCACATTACTAAATTATGTAATTTTTGAATTATATAATATTATGAAGAACAAAGGCCTCTTATTAAGACATTATCCTATATTTAATATAATTCGCAAATTCTTGTATTAACTTAAAATCCAACAGAATTTAAAAAAAATTAATTTTTGATACAAATTCAAAAAAATACAATTTATCCATCTCTGCTGTGAATATTTTCAAATGTATCTATCTATCTTTTTCTTCGTATCTTTTATATCATTCCGTTAAACGCCACTAAATAAACAGCTGTTCAATACTCACCTTGTTTTAGTTCTTGCAAAGGTGGCTGGTGTAAAGGTTTCTCCTCGAATAATAATTCATTGGTATTTAAAGCACTTGTAGTTGCCATAATTAATTATTTATTTTTTTTATTTAATTCACCTTTAGTATAAAATTGTGCACTTTTAGTTTTTTTTGTGTTTAACACTTGCCCACTGAACTACTTACTGATCGTAATGTATTTAGGTACCGTAGCGGTCAATGGAATGTTATAGACTGACAGGCAGTCAGCAAAACTTTAATGAGTTAAGTACTCGTGCTCTGTTTTTTTTTTTTTTTTCTGTTCTATCAACAAGTTAATGTTGTGACAGGTTTTTATTTATTTTTTTATTATTATTCTTTGTGATGGTGGTTCCATAACAATATTTTTTGTTTATTTTGTGCTTTAACATTTTAAAACATTTTATTTTGTTTATACCTACTCACTTTCCTCGTACTATTTTATAATCGTCAATTAAGTGAGTGTTTTTGACTGATAAGATAAATTGTTTTTTATTTCGGTTTTATTTAAAATGAAATATTATTTTGTTACTAAAACCTCAATTAGCTTTGAATTAGTCTTGGGCTTGTTGGTGCTAATTAATGGCTATTTGACACTTGGGGTTTGTAAAGCAGCAAAACAAAAACAATTTTCCACTTTTCAATTAAAAAATTGATAAGGAAAATAACAACAAATACACAAGAGGTGTCTGTTTGTATACGCTAAAGTGACCGTTAGATGGAGATATGTAGATAAGTGTTGCCAGAGGTGTGTTGTTGTAATCGGGGAGCGGGCAATAAAAATGTTATAGACTTCTTACGATTGTTAACAGTACGGTTTGAGAAATTAAGAGCACTGCTAGAATTTAGATAGATAGATAGATAGATAGATAGATAGATAGATAGATAGATAGATAGATAGATAGATAGATAGATAGATAGATAGATAGATAGATAGATAGATAGATAGATAGATAGATAGATAGATAGATAGATAGATAGATAGATAGATAGATAGATAGATAGATAGATAGATAGATAGATAGATAGATAGATAGATAGATAGATAGATAGATAGATAGATAGATAGATAGATAGATAGATAGATAGATAGATAGATAGATAGATAGATAGATAGATAGATAGATAGATAGATAGATAGATAGATAGATAGATAGATAGATAGATAGATAGATAGATAGATAGATAGATAGATAGATAGATAGATAGATAGATAGATAGATAGATAGATAGATAGATAGATAGGTAGGTAGATAGATAGATAGATAGATAGATAGATAGATAGATAGATAGATAGATAGATAGATAGATAGATAGATAGATAGATAGATAGATAGATAGATAGATAGATAGATAGATAGGTAGATAGATAGATAGATAGATAGATAGATAGATAGATAGATAGATAGATAGATAGATAGATAGATAGATAGATAGATAGATAGATAGATAGATAGATAGATTGATAGACTGATAGATAGATAGATAGATAGATAGATAGATAGATAGATAGATAGATAGATAGATAGATAGATAGATAGATAGATAGATAGATAGATAGATAGATAGATAGATAGATAGATAGATAGATAGATAGATAGTAGATCACTCGCTTTCGGAAAGCCATTAGAAATGGTAAAATTAAAATTGACAATAAACGTGACCAATAAAGTTTTTTGGGGAGCACTGAAAAACTCAAATTGCCAAATTAACCCATGGTGGTTCAGAGAGAACCCTCCCATACCTTCATATAAGTACCAGAAGCCCTGATCGATATATAAATCAAAAGTATTAGTCGGCCTCCAATGGTTTAATTTAACATAACCTCAAATGAGATAAGTAAAACGAATGCAAAGTACGCATAACTTCTAAACAGTTATATACATACATAGATATTCTAACCTGAAGAAGTTTTTTCTTTAATATTTTATAATTGAATCAATAATGTGAATAAGAGCATAAAGACCGCTTTCACAAAACTCGGTTTTGACATAATACTTATATATACTTAAATCTATTCCTATTCAATCGCCGTTCTCACATTACAGTAAAAATTTAAAGTGCCAGAAAGTACCCTTTTATAGATTTTAATGTAATGTTTTTGCGCGGGATGCACTTATCATGTTTCTAGATTTAATATTAAAAAGGATTCAAAAATTAAAGTACCAAAAAAAAATCACCTTTATAGATTGTGATTACATCAGGATATATGTGTGATTAAATGTGTTTAAATTCAATATTATATAAAAACCAAAAGGTACCAGATCACGAACGAAAAAGTACCATAAATCTTTTCTTGCAGATTTTAATTCAATATTATAAAAAATTCCAAAAGTGCCTTTTGAAGAACGAAAATGTATCAAAATGACACATTTTATAGGTTTTAATTTACTCCGGGCTCTACATACTTAATTTTATATTTCTGGTTCAATACTGTACACATTTCAAAAAGTACCTTTTTTAAAACGAAAAAGTACCAAAAAGATCCCCTTTTTTCTCAGTTACTCCTGACTCTACTTGCTTAGTTTTATGTTTCTAGACAATACAGGCAGACGGAGATGGCTAAATCGACTCCGTTATATATAAGGACTCAGAATATACATACATATGTACATATATATACATTATAGGGTCGGAAAATTATATTATAGAAATTACGAACGGAAAGACAAACCTTATGAAGGTAAATAACATAAAAATTCTAACTCACCTTTATAATATTAATTGTCTTGTTTCTTTTTTTTATAAACCATGTCCTGATGTGTAAAGTGAATGTGGTACCAAATGGAAAACATACTGCATCTTTGATGTTTCTGACTCTACACATAACAACAAATGAATTTCGGATCGGATGTTTTGTCTTCCTAAAGTAGAATTTTTCTTCTTAGTGACCGGAAACTACTGCAAAATAATTCCTTTTTTGATGTCATCGTCTAAATCGTTGTTAGGCGTTTGCCCAGCCGCCATATAATCTGGCGTGTCTTCTAATTTTCCTAGTTACATGTCCGTGAATTCGATGCGGTTATGAACCAACCGGAAACAATGATTCGCACTACAATTTGTACACCATGTGGGATGAGCAATGTGTCCACGATCAACATCCACAGTGGTTACAAAATCACAAATAATAGACTTGAAAAATGCATCTCGCATTTAGGGAATAACACAAGAGACCATGACGCTATTACTAATCAATAGAACCATGTCCTCAGGATTAAACGGACACATATTAAGAGTTTTATCAGCATTGAAAGGTCGAACTTGAATTTGATGTTCCAACACTGCAGCTGGGTAACGTTTAATAAACATTTCATTCCTGGGGATAACAAATCAATTGGCTATATAAAGCCTCATCAAACATCTTCAAATAAGAACAATAGAAATTCAAGTACGGATCCTCGAGAGCATGAATTTCTTCATTCTTCAAACTTTTGCAAATACTACGGTTGATTTTCATCGATGTTTTCAGATATTTCATCTTGTTCTGCAGTGGAATCAATACGGCGCAGTAAGAATTGTTTAAATTTAGTATTATAACCACAACATTTGTACCCCAAATTACCATCTGAGAAGCAGAAGAAGCTTCCGACACAGGATCTGTTGTTTCAGAAACGCGTCCGGTTATGCATTCCAGCTACAAAAAATAATACATATTCATTTCACAAATGCCATCTTCATGATTCATATAATTCACCCCAGGAACCGTCAATTACTACTTGACACATTGTCAGTACGAATATCAGGACTTGCACCCAAGCGCGTTCCCAGAATATCTGAACGTGGACTTCTTATAGAACCCATTGAAGTGGGTGTTCCATAATTTACGGAGAACTCAAATCAATTTCGCTCGTATTGTCTCCGAGACATCCAGCCAAGATGGTTAGTGGTAAGCTTATGTTATCCGAAGGCTGGAGATGTTGATTCGATCCCATACGCAATGGCGACTCTGCATTTTGGATATTGATAGCTAATAATAAAAAACAAAAAGAAAACTCGATAAACCAAAATAAAAAACTAAACTCAACTTACGTGTTGGTGTTTTCTGGTCCCTGAATGTTAATAACAGCTTTATTTTCCTTTTTTAATTGCAATTGGAATATTTTTCTAATTGCAACAATTGCACTAGTTTTATTCAACACTGGCATTTGTATTATTTCCAATAACAAAATTATATATATTTTATAATTTTTTAAAAAATTTTCAAACTGAACTACGTTTGCTACAAACTCAAAATGTATGTAAAATGACAGAAGATCAAATAAAGAAGAATTTGCAAAAATTGGCGCGAAAGCATGCAGCTCGCGCAAAAATCACTGAATTTTTCCTTCAAACAGATTTTGTTTGATGTCCCATTTAAAATACATTTGTTTGACGACCTAGGAAACTGTAGTTTGTCAAACAGCAATGTATTTTTCGTATCTCGTGTTTGCTACAAACACAAAGTGTTTGAAGTAAAAGCAGCGACTCGTTATACAAGAATACAACCCTGAAAAACAACCAGTGTTTTCTTTTTATATTGTAACTAATTTGTATTCGAGTTACCCTGTGCTGAAAATTAAATTCTATATTAAACACCTTGTGAATAGTGACACAACAGAAACAAAATAAAAAACAGCTGATTGGTGTAAGTGAAAAAGTTATGAAAAAATAAAAAAAAAACTTTCCATTATAATATTAAAATATAAGATACTCATAAATATTAAAAAAAAACTAAACAGAATTACATAATTCTAATTCAAAACAAATGAAAAACACATAATTACATTTCTACATTTATATAATGTAAAAACAACATAAACAATACACCATAATACTAAAAAAGATAAACTAAAAGTTAAACCCCCTGCTATAAGAAATAGTGATAAGAAAAACACTCAATTTTCATACACATTACTGGTCTAGTTTATTATCAAAATGTTGTCTTATATCAAACGTAAATTATCAGAATCAGACTCTAGCGCAAACTCGACAAATGCCGATGCTCAGTTAGTGCGTAAAACTTCACAAATGTCTTTGAGTTCAGGTGGTGGCGGCAATGGCGAGTGTGATGAGGCCATTGCTATTGGCGAGGATGCCTTACTACATGAATTGGGCTATAAGAATGCTACCGATTTACAGGAGACTATTTATGGTATGTTGTGGGGAATAGTTGGCTTTTAGGGAAATATTACTGAGAATGTTTTTGTGTTCTAGATTGCTTAAGAACTATAAGAGATCCAGAGAAACCAGCTACTTTGGAGGATTTAAATGTTATATATGAAGATGGCATATTTGTTATGCCTTCCACAAAATCAAATGTTTCAGTGGTAAGTTTTTAAAGTGAGAGCATACATATGTATTTATATGATTATAAAGAAACTTGTGTTCATGGAACTTTTCTGAAAATAGCTTTCCTTAAAGTAATTTTTCTAAAGAAAACTGTATTTACAAGACACTTTACTAAAGAATGCTGTCTTTTTAAAAAATTTTCCAGAAGAAAATTTTTTTTCAAAATATAATTTTCTAAAGAGCACTTTTTTAAGAAAACTGTTCTGTAAAGACAGAAACCTGTCTTTACAAGACACTTTTCCATTAGAAATATGAACAATTTCAGTTAATAAAAATTTTTATAAATTGTTTATTTTGGTCTCAGGTTCGCATTGAATTTAATCCTACGGTGCCTCATTGTTCCTTGGCCACTTTGATTGGTCTTTGTATACGTATAAAAGTTGAAAGAAGTCTGCCTCACAATATTAAAATTGATATTTATATTAAAAAAGGAACTCACAATACGGAAGAAGAAAGTAAGCAAGTTATTTTAAAATCTAGATTATAAATCAAACAATACAAATATCAGAAAAAAATCTTGTTGATTTGAGGGTTATTGGAATTATCTCGTTAAAACACATTTTTTAATTGAATTGTGTTTTTCTTCTTTTAGTCAACAAACAAATCAATGATAAAGAAAGAATAGCCGCTGCTATGGAAAATCCTAATCTTAGAGATCTTGTGGAAAATTGTATAAAAGATGAAGAGTAATAGAATTTATGAACAAATGTGGTCTTTTTTGTATGTATATCCAATAAATTAGAAATTAAGTGAAAGTGAAATTTTAAGTCTGGCAAATCAAATGTTTATGTAAAGGTTTTTAATTACGTTAAAATTAATAAAATATAATTGATATAACAATAATGCTTAATCAATTCTGACCGTGTGCACATTATTTTTTGTTAGGGTCTGTCCGATAACCGTTAGTAATGAAATAGCAATAAATTAGATTAAAAGAAACGTGTGGTTTGCGTGTGAAAAAGAATATGGCGTTAAAATATGGTTGACCAAACTATTTTCATATGAATGAATGAGTTTTTGCATTGAATTGTTATCTAAATGTTTTAAATGTCTGGTAATTAAGTGATAACAGTTGTTAATTTGTTTAAAAGAAAATCAAAATTGTATATTGATTGTTTATTTTATGGTTTGTTTTTATTTTTTTACCATTTACTTGTTGCTTTAATGATCTATACTAAATATATATTATAATGGGATGTTGGCGATCTGACCTTAATGTTATTAAATAAAATTTACGAACTTGAATAATAACTAATTGGAAAAAGTGAAAATAGAGTTTTTTAAGAACAAATTTTTAACAGAAATTCCAATTTTAGGTTTTTTGATGTGGATTTTTTGATTTCTAGTGAAAAATTTTAATTTCAGCAACAAATTCGACTTTGGGGAAATAACCTACTGGATGTAGTTAGTTAGTAAGGTAGTTAGTTAGTTAGTTAGTCAGTTAGTAAGTTAGTTAGTTAGTTAGTTAGTTAGTAGTTAGTTAGTTAGTTAGTACTTAGTTAGTTAGTTTAGTTAGTTAGTTAGTTAGTTAGTTAGTTAGTTAGTTAGTTAGTTAGTTAGTTAGTTAGTTAGTTAGTTAGTTAGTTAGTTAGTTAGTTAGTAGTTAGTTAGTTAGTTAGTTAGTTAGTTAGTAGTTAGTTAGTTAGTTAGTTAGTTAGTTAGTTAGTTAGTTAGTTAGTTAGTTAGTTAGTTAGTTAGTTAGTTAGTTAGTAGTTAGTAGTAGTTAGTAGTTAGTTAGTTAGTTAGTTAGTTAGTTAGTTAGTTAGTTAGTTAGTTAGTTAGTCAGTTAGTAAGTTAGTTAGTAGTTAGTTAGTTAGTTAGTTAGTTAGTTAGTAGTTAGTTAGTAGTAGTTAGTTAGTTAGTAGTTAGTTAGTTAGTTAGTTAGTTAGTTAGTTAGTAGTTAGTTAGTTAGTTAGTTAGTTAGTTAGTTAGTTACTTAGTTAGTTAGTTAGTTAGTTAATTAGTTAGTTAGTTAGTTAGTTAGTTAGTTAGTTAGTTAGTTAGTTAGTTAGTTAGTTAGTTAGTTAGTTAGTTAGTTAGTTAGTTAGTTAGTTAGTAGTTAGTTAGTTAGTTAGTTAGTTAGTTAGTTAGTTAGTTAGTTAGTTAGTTAGTTAGTTAGTTAGTTAGTTAGTTAGTTAGTTAGTTAGTTAGTAGTTAGTTAGTTAGTTAGTTAGTTAGTTAGTTAGTTAGTTAGTTAGTTAGTTAGTTAGTTAGTTAGTTAGTTAGTTAGTTAGTTAGTTAGTTAGTTAGTTAGTTAGTTAGTTAGTTAGTTAGTTAGTTAGTTAGTTAGTTAGTTAGTTAGTTAGTTAGTTAGTTAGTTAGTTAGTTAGTTAGTTAGTTAGTTAGTTAGTTAGTTAGTTAGTTAGTTAGTTAGTTAGTTAGTTAGTTAGTTAGTTAGTTAGTTAGTTAGTTAGTTAGTTAGTTAGTTAGTTAGTTAGTTAGTTAGTTAGTTAGTTAGTTAGTTAGTTAGTTAGTTAGTTAGTTAGTTAGTAGTTAGTTAGTTAGTAGTTAGTTAGTTAGTTAGTTAGTTAGTTAGTAGTTAGTTAGTTAGTTAGTTAGTTAGTTAGTTAGTTAGTTAGTTAGTTAGTTAGTTAGTTAGTTAGTTAGTTAGTTAGTTAGTTAGTTAGTTAGTTAGTTAGTTAGTTAGTTAGTTAGTTAGTTAGTTAGTTAGTTAGTTAGTTAGTTAGTTAGTTAGTAGTTAGTTAGTTAGTTAGTTAGTTAGTTAGTTTGTTAGTTAGTTAGTTAGTTAGTTAGTTCAATAATAGTTGCAAATTTAACAAAATCTATTAAAATTAAGATAAAACTTCCGTTACATTTTTGTTGTTTTACGTTGAACATACTCTTCAGTAAAAACAGAGTTGTTTTTCTGTTTATTTTGCTCTATACTTCATAGTTAGTGTCGGCATTATTTTCAACGGCGTCGCCACATGTCACCACTGCATTGACATTTATTTTTGTTGCTTTTATTATTTATATATGTATGTACGTGTTTTTGTTGTTGCTTTTGCCAACCGCTGATGTTTTTTGTCGTCGCTGCTGCTTTTTTGAATAATAATAAATTGAGAGCTAAAAATATTTCCAAAAATATCGTCATCACACAACACAAGAACGAATATATAGAAAAGAACTTCTAGGGGATAAGGTGAACCCATAATAATAAAGAAAATAATAAAAAAAAATCATGAAAAACAATTTACATAAACAAATGTGAAAATTATAAAAAGAATTAAAGAAAAAATAAAAAATTTGCAAAAATTAAAACTCAACTAGGCATAGCGAAAGGGAAAGGAAAACAACATCATAGCACACAACACACCGATACACAAACAATAACAAAAGGGATTGGAAATACCCACGTAAACACAAAAAACCGACAACCAACGCAGTTCAGCCAACCAGCCAAGCAGTCAGTCATACAGAAACCACACAGAAACATTAAAAAAGGATGGGTATCATTTGGTCAAAATTTAGGGTAAGTACGCATAATAAATAAATTATTTAAATAATTTACTTTTGATATATTCTATTTAATGACATTTATTTGCAGAAAGAAAAGTCCACCCAAGAGGTGTTGGAAGCCCTACAAGAAAAAATCGACACATTGGAGACTTTCACCGTCAATACAAAGGAGCAAAAGAAACGTATTGTTGGCAATTTTCTAGCCGTTTCCATTGGTGTTTATGTGATAGCATTTGTTGTCTTTTATTTCGTCTATTTTCCACCCACTTGGCAGGAGAGAATTGTATATTTTGTGCCGCTTTTGCTATTTCCCATAATGTAAGTAGATAGAAAAAAACATGATTTTATTGGCTGAGGGCTTTCTGTGAGTGTATCGATAAAGCGCTTAATGGGGTTCAAAGTTGCAATGCAGTGGTATGACAAATGCATGGCATTATCGAAAAATTAAAAAATATCATTGAATTGAAATGCAAATTTATTTTTAAAATATACATAAACTTTGCTTCGTGGTGTTCAGGTTCTTTAGATTATCTTAATTTTTTTTCTTTTTTTGGCTGTAGATAAGCTGCAGTAATATAATCTCTGCTATTGAAAGTAATAGTGATTTGAAATGCGGAAAAAGTCCAAAATATTTCAAATATGATATAAAAATAACAAAAAAAAATTGAAGATTAAATCATGTTGGGCGTGTAGTTTTAGTTTAACCGGCTTATTTAGAGTTCATAGACTTTCTATTTCAAATCGTGGATAGGTATATTTTAAACCGGTTGATAAAATGTGAGGAGGTTCAATGATATTTAGTAATGCTTATTAGGCGCTTTTTAAGCAAAAATAGTAAAGTCTAGAGAATGGTACTATTTTTAGTAAAAAATGTAAATTGAGTATCAAATCTGGTTTTTAGTACAAAATTTAATTTCAAGAGAAAATCAAAATTTAGTACATTATTTATTTTTTAGTACATAATATAATTCTTACCAAAATAATTTTAGTTTTAGTACAATAAATTCTTATTAAAAAAAATATGAATTTAGTACAGAAACAAATTTTAGTACAAATTTTATTACAAATCTGTACTAAAACATAAACTCATTTTTGGTACAAAATCTAGTTTTTGCTCCAAAGTATATTTTTTAGTACAAAATCTAATTTTTAGTACAAAACCTAATGTTTGGTTCAAAATTTGATTTTTAGTACATAAAATAATTTTTAGTACAAAATCACATTTTAGTACTAAATCTGATCCTTACTACAAAATCTAAGTATTAGTACAAAACCAGATTTATTGCCAAAAATTTTAGTACAAAATTATATATTTAGTCTTTTTTTAGTACAAAATCTTATTTGTAGTACTAAAATTTCTTTTTAGTACAGAATTTTACTTTAAGTACTAAATATGAATTTTAGTACAAAATAGCTTTTTTTAGTTCAAACCCAGTTTTTTAGTATAAAATCGTTTTTTAGCACACAATTTAATTTTTTAGTACTAAATCGCACTTCAATTCTTTTAGAACAAAATCTGTACTAAAATCTCTTTTGGAACAAGATCTCATTTTAGTACTAAATCTGTTTCTTACTACAAAATCTAATTTTTAGTACAAAACCAGATTTTTTGCTAAAAATTTTAGTACAAAATCATATTTTTAGTCTTTTTTTAGTACAAAATCTTATTTTTAGTGCTAAAATTTCTTTTTAGTACAAAATCCCTTTTTCGTTTTTTAAGCACAAAATCTTATTTTTTGAGTACTAAATCTTACTTATTGCATAAAATTTTATTTTTAGTACTAAATCTTTTTAGTTCAACATCCAATTTTTTGTACAATACCTGATTTTTAGTACGAAATCTCATTTGAAGTACAAAATTTTATTTTTAATACAAAACCTCATTTTAGTACAAAATCTGATTTCTAGTACATAATGTCATTTTTTAGTACAAAATCTGATTTCTAGTACATAATGTAATTTTTCGTACAAAATCTGATTTTCAATTCATAATGTTATTTTTAGTACAAAAATTTAAATTTTAGAACAAAGTCTAATATTTATCTATTTTTAGTAAAAACTTATTTTTAGTAAAATTTAATTTTTAGTACAAAATTGTAATCTAAGCGAAAAATTAATTTTTAAGTTTAAAAATCCGGATGAGATTTTATAACTTTTATATCTTCTCAATTCCTCTTTTAGCATTATTTTACTACGTTATCTCTTCACCTGGTATTTTCAACGTAAATTAAATAAAAACTCGAAAAAACTAACAGCACTACGAGCTGAAAAGAAGAAAATCTTGGAACAAGTAATGGATAAAGAGACTTATAAAGTGGCCGTGAATCTCTTGGCACGTTTTGCCGATAAACCCAGTAAAACATCATTTGGTAAGGAATATCTTAAAAGAAACTCTTCTAAAAAAAAAACAAAATCTTTAATATTACAATAACTCCTTTTACAGCTTTAAGCACCTCAACACCCAGTAAACTTAATCAAACTCCCCACAATCGTTCTTTGCCCTCGGCAAATTTAAATCAAAGATCCAAACAATTGGCTTTAACATCATCGTCAACTACAACGTCAACGCCCCTCACCCAGAACTCCTGTAAACTATATGATGAGCACAAATACTCCACGTTTAATATCACAAATGGGCCCATCGGCAACATCATCACCGTCATCATCAACGGCTTTGATGTCACAACATAGCGGTCTTAATCAACAGCTAAGACGTCGTACACCCTTCCCCATTGTCAATCAACAGGAAAAGGGTTGTATTTGATCGTATTGTTGATGTTTTAATTGGTGATGGACCACAAGATCGTTTTGCCATGATTTGCAAAGAGTGTTATTCCCACAATGGTAGTTTCTTTTAACATTTTTTTTAGAAATCCTTAAATTAATTTGTATTAATTTTAGGCATGGCTCTGAAAGATGATTTTGAATATACTACATTTAGATGTGCTTTTTGTAATGCTTTAAATCCAGCTCGTAAATCCCGACCAGTGGCACCACGATTATCGGTTATGCCTGCACCTGCACAAGCAAATGCTGGCAGTGATACTTCAGATTCAGAGGATGAAAAAGATGATTCAGGTAAATTGTTAATACTTTTTCAGTTTCATACTGCTATTGATGTGTCAGTCATTGATTGAATGCAGTTAGGGTTATTTGTTGTTGTTTTCTGATGATTCATTTAGAGATGTTTTTATAAATATTTCGTTTGTTATTGAATCATCTATTTTTAGCAATTTAACTTATGCGTCGTTTACTTGTATAAAGTTATTTCAAATTTGAATGGAAATTGTTTTTCGTTTTACAGCTTTTTGGGAGAAATATTAAAATTTTTTATATTTTTTAGTACAATATCAAGTTTTTAGTACAGAATTTCATTTTTAGTACAAAATCTTATGTTTATTACAAAATCTGTAGTTTAGTACAATATCAGATTTTTAGTAAAAATTCGTTTTTTCAATTCAAAAAACTAATTTTTAGTACGGTATCTGAAAACTAGTACAAATTTTTTTAAATTTCGTTCTTAGTGCAAAAAAATACTTTTAGTACAAAATCTAATTTTTAGTACAAAATCAAATTTTTAGTACTAAGCATTATTTTCAGTACAGAAATTGATTTTAAGTACAAATTCTTATTTTTAATACAAAATCTCGTTTTTAGTACAGAATCTGATATTGAGTACAAGGCCTTAGTTTTAGAACAAAATCTTATTTTTATCAAAAATCTTAAGATTAGTACAAAATCTAAATTTTAGTACAAAATCTCAATTTAAGTACAAAATCATAATTTCAGTGCAAAATCTCAAATTTAGTACAAAATCTTAATTTTAGTACAAAATCTCAATTTTAGTACAAAATCTCAATTTTAGTACATAAACTCAATTTTAGTACATAAACTCAATTTTAGTATAAAACCTTGAAATTGTTTTTCGTTTTAAAGCTCTTTTGGAGAAATTTCACAATTTTTTCTAATTTTTAGTGCAATATCAAGTTTTTTAGTACAGAATTTCATTTTTAGTACAAAGTCGTATTTTTATTGCAAAATCTTTAGTTTAGTACAAAAATCTAGTTTTTAGAACAAAATCTACAAAAATTCATTTTTAGTACAAAAACTGATTTTTACTAAAAATTCGATTTTTTAATGCAAAAAATTAACTTTTAGTACAGAATCTGAAAACTAGTACAAAATTTTTTAAAATTTCGTTCTTAGTGCAAAAAAACACTTTTAGTACAAAATCTAATTTTTAGTACTAAACTTTATTTTCAGTACAGAAATTGATTTTAAATACAAATTCTTATTTTTAATACAAAATCTAATTTTTAGTACAAAATCTCGTTTTTAGTACAGAATCTGATATTGAGTACAAGACCTTAGTTTTAGAACAAAATCTTATTTTTATCAAAAATCTTAAGTTTAGTACAAAATGTTCATTTTCGTACAAAATCTAAATTTTAGTACAAAATGTAAATTTTAGTACAAAATCTCAATTTTAGTACAAAATCTCAATTTTAGTACAAATCTTAATTTTAGTACAAAATCTCAATTTTAGTACAAAATCTCAATTTTAGTACATAAACTAAATTTTAGTACAAAACCTTAATTTTAGTACAAACTTATACTTTTAGTACAAATCTCAATTTTAGTACAAAATCTAAATTTTAGTACAAAATCCCAATTTTAGTACAAAATCTACATTTTAGTACATAAACTCAATTTTAGTATAAAACCTTAATTTTAGTACAAAATGTCACTTTTAGTACAAAATGTTAATATTAGTACAAAATTTATATTTTAGTACAAAATGTTAATTTTAGTACAAAACCTCAATTTTAGTACATAAACTCAATTTTAGTACAAAATCTCAATTTTAGTACAAAATGTTAATTTTAGTACAATATGTTAATTTTAGTACAAACTCTGATTATAGTACAAAATCTAATTTTAGTACAAAATTGAATTTCAGTAAAAATGTAATTTTAGTACAAATCTGAATTTTAGTACAAGATCACAATTTTAGTGCAACATCTCAATTTTAGTACAAGATCACAATTTTAGTGCAACATCTCAATTTAGTACAAAATCTCAATTTTAGTACAAAATGTTAATTTTAGTACAATATGTTAATTTTAGTACAAAATCTGATTTTAGTACAAAATCTAATTTTAGTACAAAATTGAATTTCAGTAAAAATGTAATTTTAGTACAAATCTGAATTTTAGTACAAAATCACAATTTTAGTACTAATTTCAATTTTAGTACGAAATCTTTAGTTTAGCACTAAATTTAAATTTTAGTATAAATCTCAGTTTAGCACTAAATCTCAATTTTAGTACAAAATGTTAATTTTAATACAAAATCGAATTTTAGTACAAATCTCAATTGTAGTACAAATCTCAATTTTAGTACAAAATCTCAATTTTAGTTCTAAATCTCAATTTTAGTACAAATCTTCAGTTTAGCACTAATGCAATGTTTAGTACAAAATCTGATATTTTTTCCAAATTTTCTTTTTTTTAGTACTAAATCTCAATTTTAGTACAAAATCTTCAGTTTAGCACTAATGCAAAATCGAATTTTAGTACAAAAACTAGTTTATAAAAGAAATTCTAACTTTTAGTACAAAAGCCTATATTTAGTACAAAGTTTTATTTTTAGTACAAAATCTGATTTTTTCAAAATTTTCTTTTATTCTTTTACAGATGACGAAGCAATGAATTTGAATGGCAATACAACAACAGCACAATTTTCTACACCTAGCAACATCAACAATCTTGCTGCAAACAAAGAGAATGTAAATGCTGCAACTGCAACAACAACACCACCATCATCATCCACTTCAACATCCGATGTAGATGAAGAAAAAAGAAGAAACTAAAAAACAACAACCACAAAGTGGTGAACTGAATGAAGAAGTTGTCAAAGAAACTTCAGAATTAAAAACAAATTCATCACTTGATGAATTACTTAAACAATTAAATAAGTCTGATTCTGCCATAGAGGACAACACAATGAGTCCCGAATAAATAAGAGAATAATCTCTAATGCATGCAACAACAACAACAACACATAATGAATATTCATGAAGTTACATAAAGAAAATGTTGAATTTAAACAAAAAAAGTACTTTTATAAATTTTTTTTCCTTAGTTTTGTTACTTATTTTTATTAATATTTAATTTCTTATTTTTTTTATAATTTCTTTAAATTTATTTTTGATTTTGTAAAAAAAATTTAAGCAATTTATTTAAAACTAATTTATTAACATTTAGATTGTTAAACAAGCGAAATGCAAACCCTTTAAATAATGCTTTTAAAGAAATAGCAATTACTTTTAGATGAAATAAAATTAAAAAAATGGAAATACTTTATTTATCAACCCTGTATTTAAATTAAAATACAAAAATTTAATAAACAAATATTTTTAGAAAAAAAATTAATAAAATATTACATTATTAAAAGTCCTACCTTAAAATTGTTTTCGAAAAAAACTCCACCAGCACCATTTAAGGATCAAAAGTCAAAACCCCCCAATAAACGTGATAATATTCACTAATTGTTATTGTTGTATATATGTGGACATTTATTATGCCATTATAGTTTAGAATGGTGCTAAACAAATAGAAAATTTTCAATGGAAAATTATTTCTTAAATATACATTTGCATGTAGCCAAGCGTGCTATAATATGTGTAGGTACATAGCTGTAAAGCTGTGTCTAAATAACTCGAGCTATTGCTGGCTTCATTACAAATGTGTTTACGAGTTTATAAATATTTTCCGGACCATTGATCAAGGCTAGCTAGAGTTGATTCAAAGCCATCTAGCTGCAAGACAAGAGTAACAAGTTGTAGGCAAACTGTATTAGGGAGGTTTCTAGACACAAATTTTTCATGTAAATTAATCAAAAAATGTAATTATCTTTTCAATGTTTCATTTATTGGATACGTTATAATAGTTTTATAGATAGTTTATTAGACATCGACAGACATTTTTTGGGATACTTCATATAAAAAGTTGCCCTAATGCTGGAACTGTTGGAATATAATTCTAATTGTTTCAATCATAATAAAGAAATAATCAAAAGAAACGCCGAGGGGGAAGAACGAGGGGGCAGAGGGGGGGAAAGAGGGAAGGGGGGAAAAGGGGACGAAGGGGAGGGACGGGCAGCCGCCACGAACGAACGAACGAAGACGGAACGAACGACGACGAACGAACGAACGAACGAACGAACGAACGAAGAACGAACGAACGAACGAAACGAACGAACGAAGAACGAACGAACGAAAACGAACGAACGAACGAACGAAACGAACGAACGAACGAACGAACGAAACGAACGAACGAACAACGAACGAACGAACGAACGAACGAACGAACGCGAACGAACGAAACGAAAACGAACGAACGAACGAACGAACGAAACGACGAACGAACGAACGAACGAAACGAACGAACGAACGAAGAACGAACGAACGAACGAACGAACGAACGAACGAACGAACGAACAACGAAGAACGAAAGAAACGAACGAACGAACGAACGAACGAACGAACGAACGAACGAACGAACGAACGAACGAACGAACAACGAACGAACGAAGAACGAACGAACGAACGAACGAACGAACGAAACGAACGAACGAAAGAACGAACGAACGAACGAACGAACGAACGAACGAACGAACGAACGAACGAACGAACGAACGAACGAACGAACGAACGAACGAACGAACGAACGAACGAACGAACGAACGAAGAACGAACGAACGAACGAACGAACGAACGAACGAACGAAGAACGAACGAACGAACGAACGAAGAACGAACGAAAACGAACGAAAACGAACGAACAACGAACGAACGAACGAACGAACGAACGAAACGAACGAACGAACGAACGAACGAACGAACGAACGAACGAACGAACGAACGAACGAACGAACGAACGAACGAACGAACGAACGAACGAACGAACGAACGAACGAACGAACGAACGAAACGAACGAACGAACGAACGAACGAACGAAGAGAACGAACGAACGAACAACGAACGAACGAACGAACGAACGAACGAACGAACGAACGAACGAACGAACGAACGAACGAAAACGAACGAAACGAACGAACGAACGAACGAACGAACGAACGAACGAAACGAACGAACGAACGAACGAACGAAACAAAAAACGAACGAACGAACGAACGAACGAACGAAACGAACGAACGAACGAACGAACGAACGAACGAACGAACGAACGAACAACGAAAGAACGAACGAACGAACGAACGAACGAACGAACGAACGAACGAACGAAACGAACGAACGAACGAACGAACGAACGAACGAACGAACGAACGAAGAACGAACGAACGAACGAACGAACGAACGAACAACGAACGAACGAAACGAACGAACGAACGAACGAACGAACGAACGAACGAACGAACGAAAACGAACGAACGAACGAACGAAACAACGAACGAACGAAAACAACGAACGAACGAACGAACGAACGAACGAACGAACGAACGAAAACGAAGAACGAACGAACGAACGAACGAACGAACGAACGAACGAACAAACGAACGAACGAAAACGAACGAACGAACGAACGAACGAACGAACGAACGAACGAACGAACGAACGAAACGAACGAACGAACGAACGAACGAACGAACGAACGAACGAACGAACAACGAACGAACGAACGAAACGAACGAACGAACGAACGAACGAACAACGAACGAACGAACGAACGAAACGAACGAACGAACGAACGAACGAACAACGAACGAACGAACGAACGAACGAACGAACGAACGAAACGAACGAAACGAACGAAAACGAGAACGAACGAACGAAAACGAACGAACGAACGAACGAAAGAACGAACGAACGAACGAAACGAACGAACGAACGAACGAACGAACGAACGAACGAACGAACGAACGAACGAACGAACGAACGAACGAACGAACGAACGAAACGAACGAACGAAGAACGAACGAACGAACGAACGAGAACGAAAACGAACGAAAACGAACGAACGAACGAACGAACAACGAACTAACGAACGAACAACTAAAAAACTAAAAAAAAAAACTAACTAACGAACGAACTAACGAACGAACGAACGAAAAACGAAGAACGAACTAACTAAACGAACTAACGAACGAACGAACTAAAAACTGAACGAACGAACTAACTAACGAACGAAACTACAATAACTAACTAACTAACGAACTAACTAACTAACTAACTAACTAACTAACTAACTAAACTAAAACTAACTAACTAATAACTAACTAAAACTAACTAACTAACTAACGACTAACTAACTAACTAACTAACTAACTAAACTAACTAACTAACTAACTAACTAACAAGTTATTACCATGTTTTTGCTGCGGTTGCGTTCTTCATCAAATTCTTTCTTTAAACTTCTGCAAAATGTCATTGGCTAGAATCTAGATTTGCTGGTCGCTCGTTATGATGGGAATGAAGGCATTTAATAAATGGATGTTCATGCATTTAGGAATTAATAAAATTTTCATGCTTGATTTAAAAACAACAATAGTTGTGTGTTTATTTTACTTTTTTTGCTATTTAGTTTTCAACACACCAAGCACAATTTTGCAACTTGCCACGAAATTTTTATTAAAAATAAATGAAAAACCTCAACACCGCCTTTATTCATCAACAATGAAAGGCAAACAAACAATGCTGGTGGTTTATTAGAGGAAAATGTTAAAGCCGTAGGAAATTGTGCTAAAAGCAGAGACGGGAATTTACAAAAAAAGTAAAAGGCTATTTAACAGAAATAAGGCCGACTTTGACTTAACTTTAAAAGTAATATTAAAATTCTGTAATATATTTGTTAATTCCCTTTTTCCCTTAATTGGCATTAATAACAACGCTCCTGTTTTTTTCTTTTCGTGTGATACTCCTATCTAACATTACCAAACTTGACCACAATTATTGTATGCACCCAAAAAAAAAAAAAAAAAAAAAAAAACACTGACCGCAGCGACACGACCACGTTTTTAGCACCAGGTCTATTTCATGATTATGCAAAATACACGATTTGTAGTTGTGTGCTAGTTGGTTACTGGTGATGTTTGGTGGTGGCTTTATGTCAAAACTTCAGAATTATAGTCTGTTTTTTATTGTTGTGCGAAAAAAGTTTGGCGAAAAAATAAACTTTTTATCTGCCAAAGAATTTGATTTGTACGAATAGACATATAAGGTATTATTTTTAACATGCAACATGTACCCTATAGAGGATATTTTGGGTAGAGGCGATTGGAAGGAAATTATATAATTAGATTCTTTTCAATTCTATTGACTAGGCTATTGCATTGGCTGTGCACTAGTGTATGGACTAATCTAATCATTAGCCTATAAAATAGTCCATGGACTATTCTATAGACCAGTCACTGCACTTGTCTATAGACTAGTCATTGAACTTGTTTACAGATTAGTCAATGAACTAGTCTATTAACTAATCAATTCACTAGTCTATTGACTAGTTAATGAACTAGACCATTGACTAGACAATGAATTACACTATTGACTAGTCAATGAAGTAGTCTATTGAATAGTCAATGAATTAGTTTATTGAATAGTCAATGAACTAGTCTATTGACTGGTTAATGAACTAGACTATTGACTAGACAATGAACTAGTAATGAACTATTCTATTGGCTAGTAATGAACTAGTCTATTGAAGAGTCTATTGACAAGTCTATTGACTATTAAAAAAACTAGTCTATTGACTAGTCAATGAACTAGTAATGAACTATTCTATTGGCTAGTAATAAACTAGTCTATTGACTAGTCAATAAACTATTCTATGAATTAGTCTATTGACTAGTCAATAAACTATTCTATGAACTAGTCTATTGACTAGTCAATAAACTATTCTATGAACTAGTCTATTGACTAGTCAATAAACTATTCTATGAACTAGTCAATAAACTATTCTATGAACTAGTCTATTGACTAGTCAATAAACTATTCTATGAACTAGTGTATTGACTAGTCAATAAACTATTCTATGAACTAATCTATTGACTAGTCAATAAACTATTCTATGAACTAGTCTATTGACTAGTCAATAAACTATTCTATGAACTAGTCTATTGACTAGTCAATACACTATTCTATGAACTAGTCTATTGACTAGTCAATACACTATTCTATGAACTAGTCTATTGACTAGTCAGTGATCTCGTCAATAATCTAATCTTTTGTCTAGTTAATAAACTAGTCAATTGACTATTAACGTGCTATGGACTAGTTAATTAACTAATCTTTGGACTACCTATTGATTTGAATAGGAATTAGTCTATGACTAG